GATGGTGGAGCTGGAGATGTAGAGGAAGATGGATGGGAGATAGTGACTAAATCTCCAAAAGAAAGACTGGTAGTACCTCAGAAATATCTAAGTAATTACCTAGACCTGTGAAGTATGATTGGGTTTCAAAAAAGGTAACATCGGCGGACATAAGATATCGCTGGAGGTCAGGAGAATAGCATCGGTACCCCTTTTGCATTCTCAAGAAACCAAGAAATACGCACTTAAGAGCACGGGGAGCTAACTTATCTGTTCCTGGAGTAAGGTTATGGACAAAACAAGTGCTTCCAAAGACACGGGGTGGAAGAAAGAACAAAGGTAATTGGGGAAACATGACAGAGAATGGAACTTGGTTCTGGATAGCTGAAGATGACATACGATTAATAAGATAGCAAGATGTAAGAACTGCATCCCCCCAAAAACGCAACGGAGCATGGGATTGTATGAGTAGGGTACGAGCAGTTTCAATATTCTTTCTTTCAGCTGCCCCATTTTGTTGAGATGTGTACGGACACGATGTTTGATGAATAATCCCATGAGATTTCATAAATTGCTAAAATGGGAAAGACAAATACTCTCGGGCATTATCACTACGAAATGTGCGAATAGAAATCCCAAATTGATTTTGAATTTCAGCGTGAAAGGTCTGGAAAATTGAAAACAACTCAGATCGATTTTTTATCAAAAATATCCAGGTGCACCTAGAATAGTTGTCAATGAAACTGACAAAGTAGCGGAATCCTAATGTAGAACTGACCTGACTAGGACCCCAAACATCTGAATGGACTAAAGTAAAAGGTGACTCTGCTCGATTATCAATACGTCGAGGGAAATGAGAGCGAGTATGCTTACTAAGCTGACATGACTCACACTCTAGAGCTGACAAGTGAGATAAACCAGGTACCATTTTCTGAAGTTTTGATAAACTGGGATGTCCCAACCGTTTATGTAATAAAGCTGATGAATCAGTAACAGGACAAGTTGGTGATGGAAGACAAGATGTGAGTCCATGTGATTTAGCAAGGATAAGGTAATAAAGTCCATTTGATTCACGCCCGGTACCAATGATCCTCCCTGTACTGCGTTCCTGTATAAAAACATGATCATTAAGAAATAAAACGGCACATTTAAGTGATTTGGCTAGGCGACTAACAACTATGAGATTAAAAGTACTATTAGGGACATTAAAGAACTGAATCTAAAGGTAAGGAAGGAATTGGGCTTGCTTGACCTATTGCAATTGCCATGGTTTGAGACCCATTGGCCATTGTGACTCTTGGAAGAGATTGAGAATACGAAATAGTAGTGAAAAGAGATTTGTTACCAAAAATATGATCCGATGCACCTGAATCAATGACCCAAGACTTAGAGGATGAAGATTGAGAGACACAAGTCACGCTATTACCTGTTTGAACAACGGAAGCTATCTCAGAAGATGTCTGCTTACCTGCTTTAATGAAGAAACTCAAAATAATCCGCTAAAGAAACCATCCGACTATTCGAAGTATCGGTTCCCATGTCGCTACAATTAATAGTAGCAAGGTTAACTTGAAATAGTGGAAATTAATAATTCCTTTGGGAAAACTGAAGAAATCGTTGTTTCTGCGCCGGAAACTTAACAATGTTCTGCGTGGAAAACACTATTCACGCCAGAAATACTGTAGCAGCCGGAAAAAAATTCAAAGTAATCGGAATGAAATAAAAACAGTATGGAAACACTATAGATCCTCCTAATTTGGGAGGGGTTTAAAATAAATAAATAAAATAAAATAAAAACAGTAGGGGCAGGATCGGAATTACCAGATGACCCAACTGTTCTGAAGAAACTTTTTTAAAAAATGGTCGGCAATCCACTTCTGAAATCACTGTTCAGGTTGGAAAAATATAAAAGTGGTCGGAATTTGGTGTAATCTGGATGTGTAGGCTCAGAATTGCAAGGAGAACAATCTGTCCTGAAGAGTCGTCGCCAAAAAATGGCCGCAAGGTGGCCCACGCGACGTCGGAACTTCGCCGGAAAAGTTTGTTCCGACAGATACAGTACCGCCGGAGATTTTCACTGGGGTTTGGTCGCCGGACAGTGACTACTCTTGTGGTAGTGTTGGATTTTGCACAACATTGACCGAGACAAAGCAGACACAACAACTTTGAAAGATCGCCGGGAAAAAGGGTTCCGGTGACTGATTTCACTTCCCGGAATCGCTGGAATTTATGCACAGCGATAAATCTCTCACGATAGCTCTGATACCATGTGAGAAGACACGGGAGAAAATATGATATGTTGATATTGTGTGTTCAATACAATACAAGAGGTCCTTATTTATAGCTATACTATACAAGGACATACTACTCCTATTCCAATGTGGGACAAGATTACATTATGTACATATCTAACATATTTGTTTCTTTTTAACCCCTTTAATTGCCGTATCGGTAACCAATACTCCATTTGGTCCTATCATCTATGATCTCATCACAAGGTGTTTCTATTATCTTTTGCCTCGTTTTCTCTAGCCTTACTCCATAGAGACTAGAAAGTAAATAAAATATATTATTGGTTGCTGCTGATAATTTCATGGGAATTCTAATGTTAACGCTGTTAAAGTATTCATCTTGTGCATCTGGCATCATTGGGATGCCCCCAGTACTACTTGGTACACAACCCAAATGTTATTGGCGTATTTTGTCTTTTATCACATGGTAACCATTTGTTTTGATCAAGACTGTTTTGTTTTGCAGGTTGAAGCAGCTGTTTCTGAGAGGGAGAAGCTATTGCTAGTCAAAATATCTGAGCTTCAGGCTAGGTTAGCCCGCTGCACACACAAATCAACTGTGGTCATGCTTCTCTCAGTTCCATGTACAATATTTAATTGAAGAACTGATCTTCTCTCTACTTTGCAGGATGATTAATTTGACAGATGAATTAACTGCAGAAAAATTAAAATACTGGCAGGTAAGTGCACCCTCAGTTTCTTCAATGCAAAGGTCTCTCTAATTTTAATTGGATTGAAGAAAGGAGGAATGGATAACAAGAGGTCTATTGTGGTTATACATACACCTAACTACTTTCTGGACAATAGGACCAGAAAAAAGTAAAAGAGGGAAGGAGAAAAGAAAATGCACAGCTTTCTAAGGTTGCGAGTACCAATTGGGTGAGTTGAAGGAGAAGAGGAGGGCAAAACAATTCTTTATTATCATTTTCTTTCAGTTTCCTGACCTTTCCCAAAGAAGGATTGTTGCAAAAATATGACTTCACTTCTTTTGAACAGGGTGTTTTACGGAAACAGCCTCTCTACCTTCATTAGGTTGGGGTAAGGTCTGCGTACACTTCACCCTCCCCAGACCCCACTTGTGGGATTTCACTGGGCTTGTTGTCTCCAAAATTCTTAAAACATTTCTTTTCCTCCCAAACATGAGAAAAAACAATTATGGGGAATGTTTTCATAAATAATAATAACAACTAAAAGAACACCAATGGCGTGGAGATATCTCTTTTACTTGATGAAGTTCAGGTTCAAAAGCTAGGCCTAAAGTAACAACAATTGAAAGAAAGTAGGGAGGGACGGACGAACGGAAGAGGTTTATTAACAGTATCTCAGTGTTTGCTCATTTATTAACAATGATTTCTCATCTGCTACCAGTTGCAACAGCGGTTAAATGCCATGTCAAATTGCGGAGAGGATGGGGACAGAAGAGAATTGGAATCGTGATGCCAAATGATACTTTTCAAGTGTAAACACTGTGTATATTCAGGTGTCTATTTGATGTTGCTATAGCCGACAGTTTTGAAATCTTCTCTCGCAGGTAAATGCCTTGATGGATTTTATCAATGTCGTTCGCTTTTGCAGGTAAAGGTATAGGAAGAGGCAGACTGTACTATTCTTATGTCGCTGAATCATGCGCTTGTCCTAGTTGAATAGCTCATATGGAAGAAGCCATCTCCAAGTGACAATAAGCAAAATAACCAGTGGATAGATAGTTTCTTCATTTGTTTGATGAGTACGAGCTGAAACAAGCTTCTTGTGCAGATTCACTTCTTCCAATGAAAGGGATTATTTATTTAGATATAGAAGATCGCGGAGAAGGCTCGGCGGGGAGAGGAAGGCAGAGGGTGAGGGTGGGGGTTGGGGATTCACTTCCATCCGTTTTAATTGTAGATGCTTAGTTTATGTTGTAATCTGAATTGCAAAATTAAGTTGTAATTTTGTAACATATATCAATCAATGTGACCATGAATGTATTCAATAATGCTTATAGCTTCTCGAGCATCCCTCAAGCTGGTCGATGCCTGACATAATTTCATTTCTCTCCTTTCTTATTAGTTCACTTGTGACATAATTTTGTATCTATTATCGTTTTAAAAGTTTACCTTTTCGTGGCATCAAACCAGTTAAACTTCTGAAGGTGTTCCTTAGTTTTTTCTATCTTATGGTCTTATATTTAGGGAAGTGTAGTATATACCCGCTAGCTGTATTTTTTAAAAATCAAACTAGTTGGTATTTATTTCCTTGAATGGTGATGTTACGTTAAGCTGCACAAACCTGAATGCTATTAAACAAAGTTTAGAAATAATTTGGAAAACTGATAGTTTGTTGATTAGATTCAAAATCTACTTTTTCTTTGGTTGGTAAAACAAACATCTACAGTGAATAATTATGCTTTTGGACATCATTTTAGGTTTACGTCCTTTCCTTGTTGCTACTTTAACCATCGTATGTTTGTTCAAAAGTTACACTATTTGGAATTTTCCCGCAAAACATGCATTTTTGGCTCTATCAGTTTCAATGGTGTGTTAATATGCAAAATGCATTTGTAGGGTACAAGATAAGGATAAAGACGAAGCCCTCAAAAATACAGGTGATAAGTTGCCAGCCATTTATAAGTCGCAGTCGTTGGTTGCGGCTTATTACTCGCGTTTGTTGAATGAGATTATGAAATGTCGAGTGCGATTTATGTCGCTAATACAAACATTCCTCAAAATTTTCCCTTTTAATTCCTATTTGGACTTCCTAATTAGTTTCATCTAGATTTTTCTTTTCAAAATTTACTCTTCATTTATAATTTTTTGATAGAGAATGATTTATCCCACAGAAAAATATTCCTACACAGTGCAACGAATTATTTTTCAATATAGCATGACACATATTTATTGAAGGTCTAAAATGATTCAAAATCACTATTTAGCACACATGCATCAACCAAAAAAAAGAAGGAGATTTTGAAGTTGAAGTTAAAAAAGAGAATTTGGAAGTATCAAAGAAATTGACAATTATTAATTATACATGGGTTACTATCAGAGGAATTTAAGTCACAACTAGTCTTACGATACGCGCTTTGCGCGTGTACACTATCTCAATAAGAAAGAACTATAAAATACTATATAAATAATACATTAAAATATTATGTTTGAGTGATAAAATAAAAGTTAATTTTTCCTAAAATGATGAATCTTCGTACAAGTTCTCAATCATTAGTCAATATATTTAACTAAAAATTTATTTTAATTTTTTAATTCAATCATTTTAAATTCATAAGTTATCATGCTTCTTTTTCAATTTCAGCAATCACATATAATCCTTGAAAACTTAAGAATTATTTTGAAAAGTTATTCCTTAGTTCATTTTAGAAGACTCAAACAGGATTAACAAATTGATAGAAAATAATAATTTTTTTTACAAAAATAAAATGCAACTGATTTAATCTTTTAATTTATAATAAATACTATATGAATTATTTTAAACAGATTAGAAAATGAGTAAATTATTCTAGCTCATTGTATAATCAAATTACATAACTTATACGAAGAAAATTGAAAAGAAAAAGAAAAAAAACAACACTACCCTAAAACTTAAAAAAAAAAAAAATAGAGCACGTCAGGGACTCTTAAACAAAAAATTTCACAACAAAAAGATAATTATATAATTTTTCATATCAAAGTCTTAAATATTAGGCTATTAATTAAATGTTTGTCCCTAATATTAGAAAAATAATTAATGACTATTCCTGCATATAAAGAAAATAAGTAAAGTTACTATTTTGTCCAATATAAATATATTCTTAAAAGATAAAAAAAGGTGAACGATATTTCGCTAAGGGCCTTCGTGCTTTTAATTCCTTATTGTTATTATTATTACTCTTGGTTGCTTGATTCTAACTATACTTCTTCTTCTACTTTTTTTTTTTGGTTGTCTTTCTTCTCATCATCCAATCCTTTTCTTCATTATTAATTTGATCCTACAACACCTATACCATAAAAGAATTAGACGAACATCATAATTGTAGTGAGATATATATAATACTCAAACATATGTATACACGTCAACTAATTAATAAAATTAACATAAACAATTGAACGAAAATATGAATGAAAAAGTTAAAGCAAAAACCACATATATTGAACCTTGATTTCTTTCTATCCTTCACAAGAATACTAAAATGTGAATAATGAGCTATAGATTCTAATTTTAATTTGTAAAATAAATAAACATTATACGAATGAGTAAACTTACCACAATGCTCAACATATTCTAGTCCGGACCAAAATGCTATTGTTTTGCCTACGAATTATTGAAATATTCAACCGAATAAAATCAACTATATTTATTATCTGATTGAATATTTGAATGTCACATAAACTTGGATTCAAAATACACCTCATAAAAAAGTGTTTTTGTTTACCACCGCGTTAATGATTTAAGGTTTCTTGTAATAGTTTTAATTTGAAAAAGTTTTTATTAGGTAGAATTAATTAATTTTAAAATCCTAAATATTATATTCCATATATAGTATGTTAAATAAGGAAGGTTTTAATATGTAAGATTCTACTTGAATTCAAATTCCTAAATATTACAAAAAATAATTAAATTACTACTATGTCCAATGCTAAATTTATTTTTAAAGGGTAAAAAAGGCGAACGGCATTTCTCTAAGGGCTTTCGTGCTTTTAATATAGTACTAGTCATAGGGTACGCGCGTTGCGCGTGTATCCATATCAATGAACATAAAATTCTTAAAAATTATATAAATATTAAATTTATCTGCCTTGAGTTATAAAATAAAATTAAATGAAAGCCTTTATGTTTTAATATAGTATAGATAAATAGATAGATATTACAACGCAAGCAAAATCTTATTCAATTTTAAATTTCTAATATTAGGAGTCCTACTTAATTCAAATAGAAAATTTTAATAAAATTTTAGATAATTTTAAAGTTTTAAATATTAAAAATTAAATAATTATTTTAATTTATAGTATAGTATTAGATGTTTTTGGAATAAAACTTGTTCAACAAACACCTTTGTGGAATCACAGAATTATAATATTTGTAATT